CATCTTTTGACTTACACCTATAGCTAAAACTCAAACATCATCTGGATCGTTATCTAATGGATTATTCCTTGGCATAAGGCACACCTGATTTAAAAAAACAAATAAATAATAAATAATCCATTCAAAAGTTTTCAGTTGATCTAACCAACAACATTCCCTTTTCTTGTGTTTTTTTTTGTCTTGTTTTTTGTCAGTGAAATACCTCCTGACTTTTTGAGTCCGATGCAGAGGCTGCCAATAGTCACTGCTACCATCCTCTGATTTAACGGGTTACTGCATGTTCCGCCAAATATCCCTATCTCACAATGTTAGAGAATCTTATAAAAAACAAAATCCTGTATCCAGATTATGAACTGGATCATCACCAAAATGTAATAGATTGTTCTTTGGCATTAGGGACACCTCTGAAAAATCCTAACAATAACTTTTCTAGTTACCCCGTACACAGATAAACAAACACACACACACAAACTCTACTAAAGACATAAAATATAAGAGCTAAGATGAAAACAGTATTTAAGTCTGTGTTCAATTCTGCCTTTAACACAATTTTATTTATATCATATCTAATATAGAATGAAATGTAGCTTATTTTTTTATATTGTTACATTGATATCTTTTGTTTTATTCTTTAAATACTTTTTAATGATTGAAGTACAGCAAATATGGCATTCTAGCTTTTAGATGTATTTTATTGAATTATAGTTTTTTGGACAAAGTCACCAAAGATAACTGTTAAGGTGTTTTAAAACAAAGGAGAAAAGAGAAAACCTGAATTTATTATTAAACCTTAATGTAGTGGCCTGACAGGAGCAGCAGACAAGACTGCAGAATTCAAAACTCTAAAAAGAATACAGGTGGAAATTGAAGGGCTTGTTTCTTTTTCTTTGGACTGTGAGAAAAAGACGTCTCCATAGCTGAGGATGGGGCTGACGCCTGACCTAATTTAGGAACCCAATTTATTTATTTTTAAGCACATCAATTTAGTACAAACATCGGTGAAACTACAGCTTTCAGAGAAATGTTTGCAAGGAGGATATGTGAAGCAAACAAGACGCTTGTGAAGCATTTTAGCCAGTAGGCTACTACTGCAGATAGGGTAAAATCCTACATTTACTCATAGAAAAATATTGTTTTCCCCCTAAATGCATTTTCTTCTTAACTTGGCATTTGTTCTTTTTGACTACTCTTACACACTTTAAAAGTATTGACATTACCCCAAAGATTTGACCTTTATCTTTTATTTTAAACCCTGCAGGGCTGCTTAAGTCTTGATGAAATACCTCAGCAATCCAGTAGATGGCGGTAATTCTCCTCCTTACGCTAAACAGTATAATAAGTTTTTGACAATTTTCAGAAATAAACTTCAAATTTCAGCTACAGTTTTACAGCCTCATTGTACTGCTAGTCATCTGCAAGTTTGCAACATATGAATGTGAATAATTCACTAATTGTGAATAATTGAATAATTCAGAGGAGAAAAGGCCACATAATCACAGCTGTTTTAAATCTCTTACAGGAAAGACATCTTAATAACCTAATATTAAATATATATTATTTTGTGTATATTTTGACTAAGAAGTTATCTTTTTTTCTACTCTTTGGGTATTCTTGTGTTGTCAAAATTCACTACTAGCATTAACAGACACTATTTAGCCACTGTCACTCAGATGGAAAATCAAATGTGGCTTGAAGTCAGTAACTTTTGTCATTTTTCTCCTCTCACATTTTCCCCTGTAAATCAGACATTTTCTCTTTAAAGTGGGCTTCTTAACACCTGAAACAGAGTGACTCAGTGAAGATCCCCATCTATGCTGGAAAATACAATGGTTTCATTGTAGATACAACAACAAAAAAAAAGCCTCAACTTTTGTCTTTTCTTAGATGTTTTTTTTTCCCTTTGTTTCCACTCCAGAGTCTTGTTGTCTTCATCGTATTTTTATTTATTCCAGAGTGTTGCCCTAACAGAGATTAAGTCCTGGAGAAATGGAAGACAAGACAAAACAAAACAAAAAGAAAAAAAACATTCAATATTGAACCCAGTTAGTTTTTACATCAGTTTAGGTTTCCAGTCCTTTTCTTTACAAACTTAAAATATATGTTGAATTTTTCACTTTTTAGTTCACTTACCTGAGTTTATTCTTAAACAAATAGGTTATTCAGAGCCTGCCCAAGCATTTATAACAAGAGGCAAATTAAACGGTTATATATACAGCCTACTAGGCAGAACCATCATTTTTAGCTTATTTAAAAAGTCACTATTAATTCCTAGTTGAAATAGTTTCTGGTTTTAAATGAATCAAATGTTATTAGCCTTTAAAAAAAGTACCAGCAACCTATTGCTTGATTTGAACTTAGGAGGTAGCTTTTCAAATGTTGTAGCTTTTATACTTTCTCTTATGTTGATTATAAAAAAAACTTATATTAAACTGTCCACAGCTAAAAAAATATCTTTCCAAGCTCCGCTATGCTTCTGAGTTTAGCCTTACACTGTATGATATTTGTTGATTAAATTCTGAAAATAGCATGAGTACTTTATCTAAACAGCAGACGTTTAACATACAGTTAAACAGTGTTTTACAAAGACAACAGGACATTTGACGGTAAGGGTCAAATTTTTTTCTGCTTAGTCCCCCCATCAGTGTCAAAGCAACACCCTCAAAATCCAATATCTTTACTTTTTATATAAGACTTGGTGATAACTGGAGTAAATGAAAAAGAAATGTTTACTATGTACTATATTCAGTGTTTTGGCACTCAGTACTGTGTAATCTTTATGGAACAGGTTGCTTTGATGTTTGAAACTACATCGATTAGGGAATATATTGTTATCCTTAAATTGCTAACAGTACTTAGACAGATAGACTGACACCATCGATTCAATTCAATTCAGTTTATTTATATAGCACCAATTAACAACACATGTCATCTGAAGACACTTTACCGTTCAACCAGAGCCTACAGACAAATTGATTAAAAGTTTTCTATCTAAGGAAAACTAGTTGATTGCATCGACTCAAATGCAATCTCTCATACTAAGCATGCTTGTGGTGACAGTGGAGAGGAAAAACTCCTTTTAACAGGAAGAAACCTCCAGCAGAACCAGGCTCAGTGTGAGCGACCATCTGCTGAGGCCGACTGGGGTTCAAGGAGACAGAAGCAGAGATACGAAAAGCAGCTGTAAAAGGCGGCCCCGTCCAGGAAACACACAGCCAGGCAGATTAGCAAATGTTTCTTATGATTTTCATTTTCAGGCTCCAATCTTGAAGCTAAATGGGAAGCTTGCTTTTGGTACGCTGTTGTCTGCATCAGTTCATACTGGGAATTCTCTATATTATGATATAACACTTCATTTTTGATCATTGTACAAGGGCAGCTGAGAATACCTGGTAACTGTACAGTAAATCAGTTCTTATTTATCTTTCAATCCATACCAAGGTGGTACTTGGCTATGATTTGAGAACCAAAGATATTGAAGCCTGCATAAATAGAAGGCCTGTTTAAAGATTTCCTTTGAAAATTCAGAAATTCCTTTTTTCTAGAAATTTCACAAAAAAAAAGAAAAAAATCAGTTCAGCCTCAAATGACCCATACCTTTGTCTAATTTGTATTTAAAATGAAACTCTCTGAACCAAAAATAGTAAAAGAGAAATCTGTGAGGGTATAATAAAACAATGCCACGTATGCTTTAAAAATTAAACATTTTAATAATGAATAAAATATGTCTAAAATGATCTTATATTGTACCTCTCTCAGTAATGATCAAACGTTTCTTTCAACATCACAATAATTAAATCCTTATTAGGATTCCCGACTGACACCTCTCATGCTCTCTGTTTTTTCCAGATGTATCTTTAGTGGTGAGCTCCTGGCCATCACCCTAATCTTTAGCTCCATCCATAGAATATAAAATCCAAATACTCTTCTTACTGCAGGAATCAATTCCCTCCACAATTGTTTGAAAACAGCATTGTGTCCTCCCAAAGCCAGGTTTCAGTGACGTCTATCCTACAAACTTCCTGGTTGGATAGAATTGGATAGATTGGAATTGGATTGATCCCGTTCACACAAAGCAGAGACATTTGAAACCTGTTCCCAGCGTGAAAATGACCGCTTTATATGAACAGCCAACACTGCATGACCAGCTATAGACTGGCGGGTTAGTGAATTCAAGTCAAAGTAGAACACCGCTCTACCTAAACATCAATGCACTCACAGAAACAACACGCAGTTGAGCTTGTTTTTTCAGTAGCTATTCAATTTAGTGTGGATTTTACATCTATGTCAAGTTTCTCACTCCTGTGTTGGTTGTTTTCGCCTTACCTTTTTTGTTCTTCTATGTTCCTAAATGCCGTTGCAGTGCAACTGCATCACTTACAGCTAGGCCTATAAGCGTTTGAAGACCTATTGTGGCTCCTGACTTTGGAGCTATAACAGCTCTTTGTATTGATTACAACGTAAATAAAAGTCTATGTTTCTTTTTGGACTTTGCCTTTATAGAGAATTACATGCTGCTGATTGGAAAGCACTTTTAGATAGGTAGATTCTTTATGAAACCCTGATTTTGAAATGAACGAAAACGTGGTATTCTTAAAAAGACCGTGGTCAGCAGGATGAATCGTGCCGCCTTATCATAGCAGGCCGGTCTCCTGCGCTCACACCTCGTTGGCCAATGACGTCCTGGGCAGAATGCCTTTTCAGCCATATTTGTTGAATTTCTGACAGCTTGTAAAAAACAGCATAACTTCATATCAGTGATTTATGTTTTTTTTACGATCGGAGTTGCGATCTTTGTTCCAGTTGAGCTGCTATTTGTTGTGTCTAAGTTCCAAGTTGAGCACCAGCTGTAAGAAAACCAGCTAAAGTGATCCAAACTGTAAGAAGAGATTAAAAAAGCAGCCTTATTGTATGAAGCACAGCTGCTGTGGGGGAGGTGAGCTGTAGATCTGTCACACCTCCACACTCCAACAAGCGGATGTGTTTTACTTTGCCTTTTCTCGCACTTTCTGACTTCCCTCCCCTACCTATTACCGATCAAGTCTTTCACAGGCTGCTTCAGCATTTTATCTCAGTGATGGCCTCATTTTCTGCCACCTTCCTTCCCTCTGTTGCCATGAGGCCGAACAGGTCGTAGATCTGCATTAACAGATAGATTCGTTTAAGTTTGTCTTTTCGAGAGGGTGACATCTGACAGGCGGCAGCCGACATCCGCCCGTTAAAGATTGGGCTGACTGACAAGGTAGGCCCGAACATCTGCTTTAGTTTGGTTGCTTCTTTTGAGGGTTAGTCTTTATTTCTTTCTTTGGTTTTAACACAACCTATTTTTGATGCCTTTATGGCAACAGAGTCGCTTTGTTTTTCTTTTAAAATCAGCCAATTTTCATGTTAATTTTGTTTCTTTAATCAATAAACAAAAGTGAAAAAGGTTCCATAGAATGTAAATGTTTGCTTTTGTTGTTGTTTTATCAAAATCAGTTTCTTTTTTTACATGTGAGATCACTGAGCTGAAATGTGGAAAACCCACTGATTAATGTGTCCCATCTGCGCGATGGCAGGTCTTTCCATCTAGATGACATGGAAGGTGGTTTTGAGGTTACTTCTTCCTCTGCTTCGCGAAATGCAGGATCAGTTAGAAGCAGCTCATAATTCTTAAGCAATTAAAATAAACATTGATCTCCATAATTGCATAGAAAATAAACATCTACGCCAGTTTTTTTTTATTTTGGTCAACCTGTAGAAACATGAAATGTGATGTAAACAGCAGAACTAACACCAGGAGATGATGTTAAAAACACACCATAAAATTAGTGCAAAAGAGTGAAACACATGTAAGCTTGATGATTGGGTTTAGAAGATAAGCACCTGTGTGTGTTTTCAGGATCAAACAGTGGATTCTGGGTCACACCCAAGCATACATTTCTTTACTTCCGTATTAAAATCTCTTATATAGTCAAAGATTATCTGACGTTAAAGCAGGGGAGCGCACACATTCATGGTAGGTTGGGTGTTTAATCATTTTTGTTAATCCTTCGAGAGAAACTTAAAAAAAGGTTAAATGATGACTGAATCATTCAACTTGTGATTCTCGATATTACTAACATGTCTGATCCCCTGTTCCCAGGAGAACATCCATATCCAGCGACGAACATCGAGATCTGAGCTGGACGCTAGGTAAACCAGGACAGGACGGCAGAGAGATCCCTACAGCGGACCGTTTTGCAGCTGAGGCCGAGCGGAAGCGAGACAAGCCAAGATGGCCTGAAGAACCGAGCGGTTACGTAAAGCTTCTGTTGAAGAGGTGTCTATGCACCAGATGTCTAAGCAACCTTTGAGGCCATATAGTTCAGTTCACTCAACTGCCACTGCAAGAGAACAACTCTAGTAATGGAGTTTCATTGATATGGCTGAGCATTGGCTTTGTTGAAAATTGCCTTCAGGTACGAAAGTACAACCCCCAATCGAGGACCTTATATCCTTCAGTCAGGACAACCTTGACTTTTCTTAGAAGAACCCAATAGAACCTGAGAGTTTTGTTAATCAACAGCAGCCATGAATGGCATGACTGAACTGTCCGTGAAGTGTGTTCTGGTTGGGGACTGCGCGGTCGGCAAGACGGCCCTGTTGGTCCGCTTCACCTCAGAGACATTTCCAGACATGTACAGGCCTACTGTGTTCGAAAACACGGGCGTGGAGGTATATATGGATGGGGTCCAAATCAGCCTCGGCCTGTGGGACACGGCAGGCAACGACAACTTCAAGCAGATCCGCCCGAGATCGTACCATCAGGCTGACGTCGTCCTTATGTGCTACTCGGTGGCCAACCCAAACTCCCTTGCCAGCATCCAGCACAAGTGGATCGCCGAGGTCCGAGAGAACCTGCCCAGGGTCCCGGTGCTGGTCGTGGCCACCCAGACGGACCTGAGGGAGATGGGGGTTCATCGGGGAAGCTGCATCTCACCGGCGGAGGGGAAACGAGTGGCTCATGAGGTTCACGCTAAGGGCTACCTGGAGTGCTCCTCCTTGAGTAACCGTGGCGTGCAGCAGGTGTTTGAGTACGCCGTCAGGACAGTTTTCAACAAGCACAAGAAACGGGAAAGGAGGCGGTTGTTCAGCTTGAACCAGTGCAAAATGTTTTGATATCTGACTTTAAACTTTCTGTCATTTAAGGGTTTTTTAGATGTGCTGTTCAAACTCCGTCGCCCATGAAGAGATGCGAGGACCCAAAGTGGGTTTCCTGTCATACTGCAGGGTCGTTCATCACTAGTACCCACCCCAAACCCAAATGTATTTAAACTAAGAACACTGAGAAAAAAGACAAACCCTCACTGTCTGAGATAACAGCATATGTTAGCGGACGCTTCTCTAAAAAAAAGGGTTTAAGTTATGAATTAGACTTTGTTCTCATATTATGTCAAAAATGACATTTTATTCTTATTTAAAACCTGAAGAGAAAGGTTGAATAAAGTCACAGACTATGGATTAGCGGAACAAAAAGAACTTTATGTGAAATATAATGTAGTACTACAGAAAATATAATGATGCAAAAAGATTTTGTGGGTATGGTTTCACAAAGCCTGATCATGATTGGTTGCTGATGTTTAAAATACGTGTTTAATGAAATTTAGGGTCATTTTGTTTTTTGTTTTTTTTATAAATGTTATTTGATGTAAAAAAGTTTTTTTTCTGAATTCACGGCTACTCCCCAAGATATTTATACCCCTGGCAGATTATAACATATCTTCATTTATAAATGTTTTTTCTGACTTGAAGTAAAGCTAGTTTTTTATTGTGTCCCTAATGGATTCTGACCTGGTAAAATGAAGGGAAATAAAGGTGATGGTAAGGAGGTCTTCTAATCTCAAAGACTTGGTGCTCACCATCAAAAATTAATCTCCAATCCCAGTGGGATCATAAAAGAACTAGTCAGAAAATTGAAAATAGTTATTGCTGTAATACCAATAAATAATTATATATATTTATTTTATTTATTAGTGGGTACATAATTTTCAAAACAAACACTTTTCAACATTTTTAAATAAAAAGTGATAGTTAAGTGATAAAGTTAGGTAATACATTTTTTTTTGTACTGATATAGCTTTTACATTGTTTTTTCTTTTCTGTTTAGAAACCAATGTCTTGGTAAAGGGATATTTCTAAATTTAAATCTGCCAGGAGGGTGAAATATCTAAGGATTAACTATAACTGATATGTTTAAGAGTAAAGAAAACAAATTACTTTTGACAGAATTGTATCTGTTTAGAATTTTCTTTTTAAGTAAAACAACTAAAAAGGGCTAAACACAAGAGTTGCAACATATTTTCTTTTTTACTATTTAAAATGATTTATTTTATTACCATTATTCATAAAGCAAGAGCCACGGACAAAGCTCAAAACCATTGAATTAACTTTTCCTTCTTATTCGTAGACTTTGTGTCTCTACAGTTTGCGCAAATGAACGAAAAGAAGCTGCTGGTGAGATATCAATGATTCAAATGTGCAAGAATTATTGGAAAAATACAATTAGTAGGTTTTTATGTGACATTTCTTGGTTCATTTTGTTATGTTGGATCTACCTGGATTGAATTCGAACACGATTAAATGATCTCCACTCTGAATATCAGTTGCATCCTGATGATCCTGAACAAACTCCTGAGGAATCAAACACTGTATGAAGTGCATACATCAGTTGTTGTGGGCTCTTATGCTATTTTATAAACTTTGAATAAAACCTGTAGTGTTCTGAGTGTGCGTGTAGAATTGGCCTTTTATGATGCTGTTGGATATTTGTAGGCCTTCAACCTTTGTTAGATAAAAAATCCTATTCAGCTTTTAATTTTCTTATTTAAAAGGTGAAATTTAATGTTGTTATACGTAATTCACAGACATTACATCCATGCCATACTCTGATAATTCTAGATACTTTGCAATTTAATGGTAAAGCAAATAAAACTATTAGGTTGTTACCTTTAATGTTATATTAATCCTGAATAATTTGCATCTTAACGTAAAGGTGTAAGAAATTTTGAGTTGCTAAAACACATTAATTCAGCATAAAAAAGAAATGTAAAGATGTAAGGTTTAGAATATAGATAAGACTTTAACCATTGTATTGTCAGGCTTAGTTAGTTTAAAGAAGCATAGAATAAAACAGAATTAGAGGTTTAACCAATACTATATATGCAAAGGATTTCAAATGTGTAGTGTGCAAAATATATTTAAGGTCAGAGAAATTTGTTAGAGTAAAACATATTCATGAAAACCACAGTCAACCGGGAAAGAGGCTCAGAGAAGCCATTCCTTCCCCCTCATGTTTTCTCCCGCTCTTTCTCTGCATGTCTCTCCGTCTTCATGTGGTGTTCAGAGCCGCTGAGGATGAGAGGCACCATCTTTACTTTTAAAGGATATACTTTAAAACACCTAACCACATCCAAGTCCACACGTGCAAACTCACTAACATTACACACAAACACTTAGATATATCTCAGCTCCTGCTCTTTTTTCACACATTTGTTCCCTTGGGGGACTGTTTCTGCATGTCCGCATACATGTGCTTCAGTATAGTCGTGCATGTGATGCGTTTATAAAACCTGGGCGAGCTGAACAAAGGAGAAAGCTTATTAATACAAATGTATTTCTACTCTATGATTGGACTGAATGATGATCTCAATACTGTCAATGTTTTACAATCCACAATATCTTTAACAAAAGGCTCATTAAGGCTTCGTTTCTACAGTCTGTCTTCATTTATTGTGAACAAGAAAGGAGAAGCACCCCACTTTAAAAGTTTAGTGTGTTTGGCTCACAGCTGTGGTCACATCTTTTATGTTTCATTATGCGCTCTGCCACAGCTACCACAACGCCTCATCCCGTTATCTCTCTGTCTGAGTGTCTCTCTCTCAAACACACATGCTCATAGGAGGTGTTGTGAAGTGTGTGTGTGTGTGTTGAGCCACTTCACGGTTAGCGGTAGCTGCGCTGACATCTGAAGGGCCTCAGGAGATCTGGGTGAGGGGCTGGTAAGTAGGTCTTTTCTTCATCAGGGCAGACAGTCTACACAACAGCAGCCACAACACAGATGCAGCAAATAGCTTTGAAAATACTTGCCTGATTCTTACTGATGCAGGACTGAAGAAACTTATTGTGCTGTTAATGAAAAAAGTTAGCTAGATACATTTGATACCCCAGGTAACCATGGCAACAAGTGGGTTAGCTTTGTGGGATAAACCCACAGACCTAACCCTGTGATTATATGTATCGTTTCTTTTTGCACAGACCTAACTTCTAATGATTTAACAATAAAATTAAAAATATACTCTTTATTACCGTGGATTATCTTATATAATCAGGTGCCATGACTTTGAATCATTGCACCTATGTCATATCATATGTTTATATTACTGTTTATATATATATATATATATATATTTTTTTTTTTTTTTTTTTTCATTTAACAGTTTTTCAAGGTAATTATCCGGAGAGCTGTTCCAAAAGAAATTTCTTTTTGTTTTACACTTACACTAAATGACAAGTAAAATATGTCTAAGTCTAAGGTAAACAGGATAAAATACACTTTAAGGCTCCCTAGTTTTACTGGTTTTGCATCATTTGTGTGCATCAGATTTTACAAACAGATCATGAGAGTTTTTCAGTCCTACATCTGGCATTTCATTTAAGCAACCTTAAACACCCAACATGGCCTATCCTCCATTACAAAAGCATCAATTTGCAGTGGATGTGCTTTGTCCCCATTTGGTGAATCAGCATGGCTTTTGTGGATATACATCCACACACACAATTTGTTTTTATTTTTCTTTTTTCTTTTTCTTTTGAAGTTCCAAACCCAAAATTGGCCAACTTTAGATTGTTTTACAAAAAAAAAAGAGTGGGTGTATTGGTTTGACCTACCATAGGCTACTGGATTAGGCTTGAGTGTTTATTATAAGAAAATGTCTAAGATTACCTGTACCATTAGAAGGTAATTGAGAGAAACAGGATGGGCAGCTAATCACTCTTAAATCAACGTCACCAAGCTCTATGTAATAAAAAAAAAAAAAAAACAGTTTTTGCTTGATCCACTTTGAAAGGCTTATTAAAATAAGATTGCCTACTGAATTAGTTCAGATTTGAAAGCTAAGCTAAAATGTAATGTGGTCTTATCTGCCAAAAAAGGGGTTTAAGCTCGTTTGCTAAAGCTCCTTGGTGCAGTTTCTTTATTTTAAAGAATCATTTCAGCGAAGCGTTGGCTCTTATATTTAATGTTTTATTTACTGTAGTTTGTTAGGTTAATTGGCTTCTCTAAAATTCTCCTTAGGTGTGAGTATGTGTGTGAATGGTTGTTTGTCTCTGTGTTGCCCTGCGATGGACTGGCGACCTGTCTTGGTGTACCCCACCTCTCGCCCATTGACTGCTGGAGAATGGCACCAGCACCCCTTGCGACCCCACTTGGGATTAAGCATGTTTGAAAATGGATGGATGGATGGATGGATGGATGGGCTTACTGTAGTTATGATTTTGTCCCAAACAACCACATGTTTTATCTGGATTATGCTGTCTGGTAATTTGTGTCCGACTTCGAAAACTGCAGTTTCAATATAATTCAAACCCATTATTTGACATATTTAGTCATTTCTCACTTACTTCAACCAAGACCCTTAAACTCTTGGTGCAAAAGCGTCTTTATTAAATAAAATGTGTAGCAAAATGCTTATACCCTGTTTTGAACATCTCATGTGGTGTAAAAAGACGAGGAAAAAATGACTGGTATTAAGAAAGGATTTTAAAACATACCTGATGTCTAAGGAAAACTCATTCTGTTATCCATAAGCTGCCAAAGGAAAAGTCCCCTCCGAGCTTAGGTTCATCTTTAGTAAGTTACATGTCACCTTCTCACCTGTCGCAAACCTCCAGTATCTGGGATTCAGTGGTGGAACATAACGGAGAACATTTTCCTTTTTGATATTTGAGTAATTCTATTATAACCTTCACTACACAACAATTCAAATTCAAATATTGTGCTTTCTACTCTACTACATTTGGAGAAGGCTGCTAGTTACTGGATCCATTTGGCTGAGCTTAGCTTTGTAATCCACTTTTGCTGTTTTTCTTTCTTGAAATGTTATTTCAGTATGCAAGATAGCAGCCCTTAGGACTGAATTTGGACAAAACTGTTTTGCATGACGCTCCACAAATGTGACTACCTCAGTGCAGTAATGATTTAATATATAGTTTATTTATGTAGTTTATACATTTTATTGAGGTGTTAGGTGTTGCCTAGTTGTTCAGTAGGATGAGATCTCAAAGCAGAGTTGTTGTTTTTTATTTAATAATAGATTCAACCATAAACCTCTATTCCATAGTGAAAGTGTGAGGAGAATCAAGACTCTCCTCTTTTCTTTTGGGTTTGTCTTTGAATAAGAATTAATAATCAAAACAGATGTCCTTTTTTGCCGCATTTTTGTGCTGAAGTTCTTTCCAGGGGTTGTAGAATCTTTAGCAGGTGGTTCTACGTATCACTTCGTCAGGTGGTTTCTGAAAGTACATGGTTCTTAAAAATGAAACTGAAAGTTAGGTTTTAAAAAATACTAATTTATATATTAGTAGATTTCTCTCTAAGTACTTTTAAATGCATGAATTTAAATACTTAAGTTTTTTCAAAAGTGAGTACTTTGATACTTTAGCTTGAGTAGATATCAAGTAACATTTACTTGTAGTTAAGTAAGTATTAGTACTTTTACTCAAGTACTACTGTTGAGTACTTCGTCCACCACTGCTGGGATCAAGCAGCCGCACAGTAGTTTCTGAGAGAGAAGGCAACTCCAATCCTCACAGAAGGAAGTAGTCTTCAGTTAAGGGGGAATAGCCAAGTAGGATGTTTTAAAACAATTTTTTTTCTTTAACTACTGTGCAACATACATGCACAGTAGTTAAAGAAAAAAAACAACAACTGCAGATTATGACAAAAAATGCAGAGTATACAGTCATCTGTGGAGAGGCACTTTTCCCTCCCCCAGATGAAGAAATTTACGTCACACAGCTGCAACTGTTTCCGTAGAAGATAGAAACCTTTGCTTTCTCATAGAAATCTGATATAAAACACTCAAACTTTGACCAGAAAGCTGAGGACATTAGCAAAGCGGTTTCAGCAGACAAATATGAAAACTTGATGCCGCATCATAACTTTAAGGACAAATCTATTATCTACCAGTAATGTCTAAATTATTGAGCTCTCAGCCCACTTGGGGCCCTACACCGACCCCTATTCATTGAGAATTTCATTCAAAAAAAAAAAAAAAAAAA